TAGAGTAGAATCCATTCCAGAAAGAAACTCCTCAGCTCCAAATCATGTAAGTATTCACATTGTACCTGTATGCAGTACTTATAACAGAAATTTTTAAACATTTAAAATTTAAAAAAAATTGAAATATGTCATCTATAGTTTCTCAAGCATGCCTGGGCTGATTCATCCCCATTCAGACACAATCTACTTGTAGAAATTATTTATTGCACAGTATGTTGTGCAGTTTGTATTTAGTGTGTTTGTGAAAGTCCAAAAGAGCGCTTAGAATTGCAACAAAGTTTCTTTAAAGTTGCAATCGAATGTTGTGCATCTCACAAGCATATCATTATTCCTGCAGGCCATTGTTTTCTCATTTATTTGTGCAATGTCTCTGACACAGCATTACATTTCAGGTGTTTTACAAATATAATATAATATAATATAATATTGTATGGTGACTTGTATCATCTTTTGTGTTCATTATGAATGTGCAATAGTTTTTGTATTTATAATGAGTTGTTTTTACAGGAAGCAATTGCCAGATTAAACCGAGGCATTGGTGAATTAAGGACTGTACATCTTGTTAAAGAGCCTGAGGAAGGGCTAGGCATGTCAATAACAGTAAGTAGTATATACAAATATATTTATTTTTACCTTCCTGGCATTCACTTTTCATACTGTATCACTGTTACAATATGAAGAGATGCATGTCTGATTTACTATCACATATCATGAATTGTTCTTCTGCGATTCTATCATTTTATTAAATTTTCTTGATTTTCAATACTTGATCAAATTGCTGTACAACTTCATATAAAATGTTGTCATTTGTGTATCAATAAAGCTTGAAAGAGAGGAATGTGAAGGGAGGAGAGAGGGTGGAAGGGAGGAGAGAGGGTGGAAGGGAGCTGCACACATACATCAAAGAGAAGTCATCACCTAATAAATAAGCATGGTACTTGCATGTGCGTTGTTGTGTATATGTGTTGATGCATTGCTTACACTTATATAGGGAGGCAAAGAACATGGTGTACCTATTCTTATATCTGAAATTCATGAAGGTCAGCCAGCTGATAGATGTAATGGTCTTTATATTGGTGATGCAATACTTTCAGTTAATGGAATTGATCTTAGACAAGCTAAACATGCTGAAGCTGTTGATATATTATCTAGACAGGTAATTTCTCTCATCATTCGTATATTATCTAGACAGGTAATTTCTCTCATCATTCGTATATTATTTTTGCTTGTGTACTTTGATACAAGTACAGTTCAAATGTTATAAACTTTGTAATTAGAATAGTGTAATATGTGGTTAATTGTATTGCCAATTTGTTGTGCTAATTGCACATCTTCACTTCGAGACTGATTACATTAAAACTTGAAACCTCCATAATGTACTCACCAGACTTAGCACCTAGAGTACTCGGCTCTGGTAATCATTGGGGGGGGGCACTTAGCCAAGCACACACACACACACACACACACATACACATACCTTCACATCATTATGATTCCAGATTAGTACGTCTCTTTGGAGAAAATAAAATTAGAATTTGTCTGTCATTGATTTCCTCAACACTTTTACATTGAAAAACAAAAACAATCACAAAAAATATGCACGTTTCCCAGAGCATTCTCCTCTCATAATGCAATGCGGAAGAGAATTATCAATGTTGAAGTTCCATTGGTTAGAATTGATTGGCATGTTATTTTTAACTTTTTGAAAGGTTAAATTGAATATGGAATGAAGTATTCAGCATCATTCACGGTAGTTAACACATCATTGTTGAAATATAGTTTATGCAATGTTACTATGGTTTGCTTATCTGGACAAAATTCAAAGACCAGGTTTTATGACTAAACACCTAAATTGTTTAGTGTTTTGGGATGGGCACTTAGCTGAACATGACCCCAACAATAAGAAGGCCCCACAAGTTGGGGGGGGGGGGGATGTGAATGGGTGGTAGATACTTCAAGTCGTGATGGAATGCATTAAATTGATAATCTGATTAATCTAAGTACACTCTTTGATGGTTTTTTAATCATAACATTTTGTTGAGATAGCACTAAGAGTGTGTCCATATCAATAAAACAAATTCTAGTAAATCAGGTAAAATAGTAATGCTATATTGTTGTTTAAATGTATGTTTAATTGCTCTGCGTTTATTGCAGACTGGTGAGATAATACTTGAAGTGCAGTTTGTAGCTCCAGAAACAGACAGTGATGATGAAGATGAAGAAGAGGAATATATTGATGAAGCAACTGGTGTTAGGTAAGAAACAATTGTATCTTAGCAACTGGTGTTAGATAAGAGATAATTGTATCTTAGCAACTGGTGTTAGGTAAGAAACAATTGTATTTTAATAACTAGTGTTTGGTTAGATACAGTTATATCTTTGAAAACGGTGTTAATTAAACAGACAACTCTAGTTAAAAAGTCTGCGGAAGGTCAGAAGTCATGAAGTTTGAGTGAGAGTCTACATTGGTTCGGCTTCCAATGTCACACAAAATTTAACAGGATCCGACACTGAAATTTCATAGAAAGTTGTGTACTACTACATGAACGTACTAGGAACATGCTTGTAAAATTATGGCACTGAGACAAGATAAGAAGAAGGGAAATAAGGCATAGAAATCCGGGAAGGACAGTTCTCAAAATGGGTCACCACGAGGAGAAACATCACAGTCAAAAAATAACCCTCCGCGAAGACCACAGTGAAGTAATTATTGTTTGAGTTTTGTTTCAGGGAGGTTTACTCTGTTTTTAGTTAAGTGTTTTATTGTTAAAAAATGAGTTGAAAACTTGTGGTCCCTTGTGGTTGTCACTGTGTTCATAATGACAGAAAAATCAGGCGCGTTATGGGCTCCAATATAAAGTTTGTAAGTCTTAATGTCAGAGGTCTTGGACAATATAAAAAGCGGAAAAAAATGTTTAAATGGCTTAAAAAAAAATCGAAACATAATCATGTTACTGGAAACTCACAGTACTGATAAAACTGCTAAATATTGGGCATCTCAGCTAAAGGGACATATGATTTTTTCGCATGGGTCCAACAATAGCAGGGGAGTCCTCACCGTGTTTAGGAGTGTGAATTTCAACATTAATAAAGTAACAAACAATCCTAAGGGGAGATTTCTAATCACAGATGTTAACATCGCTCAGAAACAGTTTGTAATTGTGAACTCGTATGCAACAAACGATGAAGTAAATCATATGTTATTTTTGAAGGAGATATTTAGCAAACTAAAAGATTATGGATTATGGATCTGGAAAATGATCGTAAAGGGGGAAATCTAACACCCTGGAAAAATGCAGAAAAACTAGTAAAAGAAATAATTTGTCATTTGGCTTAGTTGATATATGGAGGGTGAGAAATAAAGACAAAAAAAGATTATACTTGGAGGTGCTTCCACCCTGAAGTAGTGCAAAGTAGATTAGACTATTTCATAATTAGTGATAGCCTACAATCAAATACTAAGGCAACAGATATTATACCATGCTTTTTAACTGACCATTCAGCAGTTACTCTTGAAATGTCATGGAAAGTGGCCGTGGGCCATCTTACTGGAAACTAAACAATAGTTTCTTGAGAGATAAGTATTTGGATTTGATTGAGGACAAATTGATTGATTGGGTACAGGAAGGAATAGATATTCAGGATCCTGGGATGAAGTGGGATTTGATAAAATTTAAAATTAAACAAGAATCAATGAGATTTGGTAAAATTCGAGCTGCTGAACGAAAACAAAAAGTGTTACAATTAAAAAAGGAATTAACAGAAATAGAAAAAATGATGAGCAATGACCAACTGAGGAACTAATTACACAGAGAGACAGAGTTAAAGAAAAATTGGAGGAAGAATTTGAACAGAAAATTGAAGGATTAATGATTAGATCTAAGTGTAACTGGATAAAATTTGGAGAGAAAAACACAAAATATTTTCTTCAAATGGAGAAATACAGTAACAATTGAAGTCTGATAAATAGAATTATTAGGGAAGATGGTGTAGGGATAAGTGAGCAAGATGAAATAAACAAAGAGATAAAACAGTTCTACATGAACTTATACTCCAGTAAACTAGAAAAGAATAAAGAAAATATTATCAGGAATGAAAATGTTTTTTAATAATCCTGAAATTCCCAAGATGGATGAAAACAAATCAAAAATGTGTGATGGGCCAATAACTGAGGAGGAAGCTGAAAGGGTGATAAAATCTATGCAGGTTAATGAAACCCCTGGTAATGATGAGATAACGTGCGAATTGTATAAACAATTCTGGCCAATCTTAAAGCCTTATATGATAGATTCGTTTAACGCTGCGTTTGAGAAGGGAGAATTTTCACCATCACAGAGGCAAAGCGGTTATCTCCCTAATCGAGAAAAAAGGTAAAGACAAAAGATACATTCGTAATTGGAGACCTGTAACGCTCTTGAATATGGACTATAAAATTGTAACAAAATGTCTTTCAAAGAGAATGGAAGCTGTTCTTCCTGATCTGATCCATGAAACACAATCTGCATTCGTTAAGAATAGGTTTATTGGAGACGTAATAAGACTAATTGAAGGGGTGATGAACTATACAGACGAAATGAATATACCTGGCATTTTAATAACAATAGATCTAGAAAAAGCCTTTGATTCATTGGAGTGGTCTTACTTATTCAAGGTATTAAACAAGTTCAATTTTGGTCAGAATTTCATAAGCTGGATAAAAGCATTATACAACAACTGCCAAAGTTGCGTTATGAATAAGGGTACAACCACTAGGTACTTCAAGCTTGCCAGAGGAGTCAAACAGGGAGATTGTTTCTCCCCATTACTGTTTGTTCTTGCCCTGGAAATTTTCTTAATAAATCTTACATCCAATAAAAGCATCAGAGGTATAGAGATACAAAATGAAGAAATTAAAAATGTGACATTTGCAGATGACCTCACATGTTTTATTCAAGATGTAAAATCTGGGGAGAATGTTTTCAAGTTGTTAGAGAAATTTGAGAGTGTATCCGGCCTCAAATTAATATTAACAAAAGTGAAGCAATGTGGTTAGCAAAAATAAAGAGTGTAAAGAAAAACCACTGAGAGTCAAGTGGCCAGAAAGTCCAATTAAAATTGTAGGCATTTATGTGTCCTATAATAAAAATAAGGCACTTGATCTGAATTTGGCAGAACCGTTGGAAAAACTCAGAATTAGTCTAAATTTCTGGAAATCTAGAGATTTAACTATATATGGCAAGATTCAAATTATTAAGAGTATGGCTATTTCAAGAATTCAATATGTAATGAACATGATAGATTTTCCGACACATAGTTTCAGGGATGTAATTAAATTAATTTTCAAATTTCTTTGGAGTGGGCCGGACAAAATTGCTCGGCAAACGATGATAGGTGCTGTGGATAAAGGAGGGTTAACCATGCCTGACATCGGAGCAATTTATAAGGCACAGCGTATTAATTGGATCCGGAGGTTTTGTGATACGAGTATTAAACATCCCTGGAAGACAGTGTTGGAAAGTGAAGTAGGAAAAGTAGGTGGAATAGAAGTTCTCCTGTAAAGTAATTTTAAGGTTCAAAAATTGTCAGTTAAATTCTCTGGCTTCTTTAAAAGTATGCTACAAGTGTGGTCAGAAGCTAATCAGTTGGCCAAAGATAATGACAAATTATTGTTAGAACAAGTAATTTGGAACAATCAACATATATTATTGGCTGGTAAGTCCTTGATCTTTAAAGAATTTATTAGAGCCGGAATCATGTATGTGGGGCAACTATTCAAGGAAAATGGCAATATTCTGGCATGGGAGGATGCGAGGGCAATGGGAGTTGCACAGTCGTCTTATTATGCATTGGTTTGGTCTTATTAATGCCGTCCCACGAGTATGGAAAAATTCTATTACTGCAAACAATATTGCTAATTTTAAAATTCCAGATAGGGAAATTTTCTTCAGAGTTGGAGCAGTATTAAGGGGAATTAAAGACTATAACACCAGAAATGTAACCAAATGCTTTGTAGAATTTTATTATATTCCTCCCAGGTCTGAAATGTGTTACACTCTTCTATTCAATGAACATATTGACTGTTGGGATCCATTGTACCAGCTTCCTCATAAAGTGACAATTGATAATAGAATAAGAGCCTTCCAATTTAAGATATTGCACAATGTATTACCTACTTATGTTATTCTGTCCAAAATGATGCCACCAAGAGTCGAAACTGAGAAATGTACTTTTTGTGGCAAAGAAAGAGAGACTTTAATGCACTTATTTTCTAATTGTGAATTTGTTATGGAGTTGTGATATGGTATGTATATGTTGTGGGGAAGACATTTTAGGGCTTCTTGATATTCCCAATGCAAAGCAAATTATTCTGGGAGAAGAACAATTTTCTATATTGCTAAATTTTGTAATACTTGTGACTAAATGCTATATCTATATATCAAGATGCAAAAAACAAAAACTGAGTTTAATGGCGTATAAAAGATTCTTACAAAATATCCAGAATATTGAATTCCATATTGCCATTAGAAAAAATAAGCTCAATTTCCATATCAAAAAATGGGGAAATTTCTTTAAAATTGTAACATAAAAATTGTGGTATGGTGTAAATCCCCTAGGTAATGTATAACTTCTCTACAATGGGGTACATTGTGCGAGATCTTACAATAATGTATTACATTTATCTCTTTATAGTAATGTATAAAATCTCAGTCATGAATAGCTTCTCTACAGTGAGGTACAGATCCTCAAATTATTGTATAACTTCTCTAGAGTAGATTACTAATCATCACATTTGTGACTTACATACCGTAAGTTCTAAAAATAATGTAAAACTTCACTTTATTGGAGTAATGCATATCTTTATTACAGTGATGTAAAATGTATTTGAACTGAACAAGCCAATAAAATACTATTAAATACAAAAAAAAAAAAAGTCTGATGACTGAACATGGAAACTTAAACACATTTCAATCTCATCAACAACTGTCAGCCATGTTAATTTCAGCTGACTGTTGCACCCAATCTTTGCACCAATTTTTTTTTCGTGATTCAAACAAATATGGCGGACTGACGGCCATCTTGTTTTTCATGGTACCCAGGCTACTTTATCTTGAATGCAATGAACGGTTCTGTTTAAATTTTGTACAAAGATAGTACACCAAGAGATACATTTGCACCAACATGATTTTTGTGATTCAATTCAATATGGCTGACCGACGTTCAAATTCCCTGTAAAAGCATTAAATCGTCTTTTTTAGCTCCGCTGTCGACTTAATCGAGCAGAGCTTATTATATGAGTGATTGTCCGTCGTCGTCCGTGTCAATGTTTTACTTTTTCGACTTCTTCTTAAAAACTACAAGCCTGAATGCTTTGATACTTGGTGTATATGTACCTTGGGTAGACCTCTCTTAGGTTTGTTCATTTCATGTTGATATCCTCAATTCTCTAATTTTGGTGAATATTTAGTCATTTTTGGTAAAAAGTGATATTTTCGACTTCTTGTTAAAAACCACAATCATTTATGGTTAAAAATTATATTTTTGAATTCTTGTTGAAAACAGCAAGTCCCATTGCATTGATACTATGCATATTGTTCATTTTCTAATGATATCTTCTGTTCTTTAATTGAAATGTGCATTGCTAACAGCGGAGCTATCTCAGCCGACAGGCTGCTTGTTGTAAAAAGTGATATTTTCGACTTCTTGTTAAAAACTACAAGTGCAATTGCTTTGATATTAAATATATAGGTACTACATGTGGACCTCTCTCAGATTTGTTCAATTTCTAATGATATCTACAATTCTCTAATTTTGGTGAATATTTTTGTCATTTTTGGTAAAAAGTGATATTTTCGACTTCTTGTTAAAAACCGCAAGTCCAATTGCTTTGATACTACATATATAGGTACTACATGTGGACCTCTCTCAGATTTGTTCATTTCGTTATGATATCTTTAATTCTCTAATTTTGGTGAATATTTTTGTAATTTTTTAGCTCCGCTGTCGACTTTGTCGAGCGGAGCTTATCATATGAGTGATTGTCCGTCGTTCGTGTCAATGTTTTACTTTTTCGACTTCTTCTTGAAAACTACAA